CTGGCTGCCGGTGCAGAAGGGCTCCCTTCCACTGCCCACAGCCATGTTCTCCTGAAGAGGCACCAGGAGGAGGTCATTTCTGGCAGGGTGGGAGAGTTGAATATCAGCCTAAAATAACTCACTTTCCCTTCTAGGCCACGGCAAGAAGCAAACTCATAGTTCAGGATTTAAGCTGTTCACAAATATGATTAAATTTAATTCCACTGCCATCTTGAAGTGACAAGGTGGCATTATCCTCATTTTGCACAGGCAGTGCTGAGGCACAATAGATTAGGATTTCGTGGTCAGTGTAATCTGTGTGTCCATTTTGCAATGCTTTTGGCTCAGTTACAGAGCTCAGTCATACCTATGTAGAATATGTTATATATTGTCTCACTGGCCAGGAATACAGCCCTGTGTGCTCAGTTCTGCTGCAACAAAACAAATTCTAGGTTGGTCCCCAACTAACAAGAAGAACATCTTCTGTGATTGTGACTGTGAAACATGGCTTGAGTGGTGACTTTTGCATTTGTAGAGGAGCTCTGAGGCACGAAATTAGAATTCAGTTCTCTTGCATGTGCTCGAGACCATTTTTTTTTTTCTCCTACAGTCTTTTGTCTTATTCACTAAGCATCTAAAATGTTGTTTGCAGAAAATTATACGGCTTTCTTTATTAATCAGCCTTGATTTATCTCTGGAATTGCTGGAACTCACTCCTGTTGGGGCTGGGCAGGCAGGTGTGAGTCAGGAGCACGTCATTCTGCATCATCTAAGTGAGGCCTGACAGTTCAAGGCTCAGAGATGTCATGGAGGCACTGGAACAGTCTGGCAAGAGACTTGTGGATGCCTGGTGTTCAAGGTCAGGTTGGATGGGGGCCTGGGCAGCATTGTCTGGTGGAAGGTGTCCCTGCCCATGCAGGAAGGTTGGAACTGGATGATCTTTAATGTCCCTTCCAGTGTTCTGTAATCCTATGATTGCATGGCTATCTCTGGACACAGGTGTGCCTTGTACTAGTTTTAAATATGAAAGAATAATTAACAGTACAGACAACTGCACGTTTAGCAAACCCTAGTAAATACACTATCTCAGATCTTCAAGAAGTCTGAGTCAAGAAGACCAACCTGAGTGTATCTTTCTATACACAGCAGATATGTATCACGTACCGTGGATACCTCATTGACGCTCATTCTCAGAAGGTGCAGAGTATGACCAGTGGCCCAGGTAGATCCCAGGACTGCCCCTGGTTGTAATGGGGTATAGGCTAGTCCAGTGTGGTGGGTAATGAAGTTAAGTGTTCCAGAATGCTCCCTTTTCTAATACCATGGGCATTACAAACAAAAGGAATGATCATATTTTTAAAACGCTAAAGAATATATATAACCAGGCAGGTTATACATTTAAAGATTGATTAATTTATGCACATGGCATATTGAGGCCATATTGTGTTTACATTTCACCTTCTGTGTTTCTAAAGCAGTCATTTTTTTTGCCAGTCAGAGGTTTGCATCCATCTGAATGCCTGGTTTGGACAGTTATAAAATAGCTACTAAAAGTTTTTAAATAGTTTTTTTTACTTCACATTCCCTGTCAGCTGTTGGCAGGTCGCTCAAGTAGGAATTCCCATTATTTTTCAGAAGCGGAAAAGAAAACACTTCTTGTACTTAATAAGTAAAAGTAATAAGTAATTTTTAAGCCTTATGATGAATCATATTTGAAGGACTAAGATTATGTATTTTGGACTTTGAATTTGGTCTCGACAGGTTTGCATTATTGTAATACAGTCCTTTAGTTTTCAAGTTACTTTTCCAACACCAGGCTCGTAGTGAAATATTCAGCAAATCAGATTTTGTTCATTATAGATATTTTGTGCAAGACGGTCACTAATGTGCAAAGAACAAAACTAGAAAGACCTCAGAGATAAATCATGCTTAAGAGTCTTGCTCTTACATGTTTCACTATCCATCTATCTATTCAGCTATCAACTTAAAGTTAGTTTCTTCAGCTGTGTCTCCTATAACAAATATATAATTATATTAGCTTGTTTTATGTTGAGAGATCAGAGAGACTGTATAGGAAAATAATAGAGCAAATTTTTGTATCTTCAGATTTTCATTACAAAATGCTCTAACGGTATGTATCTAATTGTGTGAATACAATTTTCCCCCTCAAGCTCAACTTTTACACAGTACATATAAGCTGTGTAATTAGTGGTTTTGATAATAAATTGTTTTTTCATTAATATGTTTTGCTTGTTATCACTAACAAAATTATTGTTGTGTTGGTTTTGGCAACCATAGGAACTCTGTTGTTTTACCTTGTGTTTTTAAAGCTATTTCCCATTTGTGTTACATACCAGATGTCTCTCTAATTATTTTCTACATATAGGAATGCCCACTCTGCTCTAACTGTAAAGCTTTTATAAAAGCATTATTCATTAAACAGTGCAGACTGCTATTGTACTTTAGTATATTAATGTTTTGAAATACCCTCTTCTTGTCTTAGGGACTCTGTGTATGATCATGAAACTGAAAATTATGAAATCTGCAGAATTAATCAGATCCAAGGCTCATTCGCTCCTACTTACTGCAGTTCATTGTAATTCTCTTTACTACCTGTATGCAACTTATTCACTTTCATTTCTGTTATCTTGAAATTCTTTTTCAGTCTGGATAAATATATTATTTATATTATATATTCTTGCAAATCTTCAGAGTTACATCAGATCTTGTTTTAATAGTAAAAATAAGCAAAATTTGGCCCACACTTCTTACTTTGTGAATACTTTCAGCATTATAGTTTTCTACATGTATTTTCATGCCATTAAAAGCCCAGCATTTTCAAACTTTCAACTTCTGTTAGCACTGGTAACTAATAATTTATATCAGTAAGAGACCTTTTCACTTTGGTTGTAGAAGAGGGAGAAAAATGAACCATATACTTCGGGGATATATGCCTGTTATTTCATAATTAGTTTTTACATTAACTATGCAGCTCTACTGATAATTTCTTTATTCCTTTATTTATTTATACTGTGGTATGCTTTGGATAAAAGGCAAAATGAGAGGAAATAGGCCATGTGGGGTGTTCTGGGGAATGCCTTCTGAAATAAGGGTTTCTACTGAACATAGGACAATAAAATACAGTAATTTGGCTTTAGAATTCTGTGAATGCATTTTCTCCTTTTCAGTTTCATCTTAAATCAATACAGAGCAATTAGAGCAATACATTTCATTACTTTGAAGAGCAATACATTTCAGTGCCATGACTCTGCATGAGCAAGATAAGTGTACTTAGAGAAAACAAAACTGATAATATTTGTAAAGGAGCCTGATGTCTTATTGTAGCAAAATCCATATTCAGCTGGTTCAGAGAAGATTTAAGGAACAAGATGGCTTGATAGGGAATTCCTGTGTAGGTGTTTTTAAGAAACTAGAATAATACATAGAATTCAGTGATAGCATAGCTCCTATGTATAGAAGATATTAGAAGTTTTGAAACCAAAACCAATAACGATTGGCTGATAGCTCCCATACAGGGCAGTCACCAGTCACCTGTTCTAGTTACAGTACAATAACATGTATTTACAAAAAGAAGTATGATAAATGACTGATTTCCCATTACATTGCATCTTGCCATATTTTTAATTTAATTTATTTCTACATATATAGTCAGTTGTGATTTAAGGCACAGTGACAAAGTACAGAACTTCAGAAACCAACAAAAAACTGAACGTGGAATTTTCCTTTAGTGCAGGCAGCTGTCTGGATTCAGTTCAGAGATGAGGGGCTGAGGTAGGGTTCAACTCACTTACCAGTCGTCTGAGACCTTGCTATTCAGGGTAGTCATCAGAGTGCTTTCAATTCTAAGGAGAAGCATGGCATCTTGCCATATTAGGATGTGATGCCTTGCAGTGCAGAGCTGGCTGGCTGCTCGTAGGCAGCAAGAAGACCTCTGGCTGAGCATAGATGAGTTTAGTCCTAACCCTTCCACAAAATACAACGGTCAGTGGATTAGTTACAAAAGTTCAACAAGCCAAAAACAGTGTGTGAGTAACAGTGGGATTACACTCAATTTCTGATGCTGGCCCAGGTATTGCAGGGTTCTCTTACAGAAGCGCACCTTACTGCTCAGGCTCAACCACTTACAGCCACGTCAGCCCAGAGTGCAAGGCAAGGCACAAAGGTGCCAGCTGTATTCCTGCTACATGGCAGACCTGTGTTTTTGTCCTTCAAGGGGAGGTTTTTCAAGGTGGCTGTGACATGATTTCAGTTGTATCAAAAGGAAAATGATACCACAGCAGAGCGTCTACAGGAACCTGCTGCCAGAGGACTGGTGGATGCAGATGACTTGTCTCTAACAGCATAGTCTAAGCTGATGCTGACCCTTTCTTCCTTTATTCATTTTTCTTCTAACAGAGAGAGAGACACGTCATTTGTTATAATTATGTTAGGCCCTCAGAAGTGACTCATAATATTATGGGCACCAGCAAAATTAACTGTCATGAACAGTGGAAATTTTTAAACCCGAAATAAATTGTTTTATCTGAGTTACAAACCTTTGAAATGAAAATGTTGACTTAAAAACTTTAAGTCTTTAGCAGCACCAGTAGCTGCCTCTCTAACAAAAACCAAAGCTACAAGTAATCATATTTGTTATTTTAAGTAATGTCAAGCTTCTGTAGTACCAATTTGAAAAATGAGCAAGCAATTATTAGACATTGTCTCAGGGAAGAAATTATTTGATATTGCCTTAATAGTTTCTATATTGAAAAGCTAAAACACTGCAAGTGCAAAGATTCCTGATATAGAGAAAAAAATGGTGCTTAAAATTAAACCCAGATGTACAGTAACAGTATCTGAAAGAGTTTGAACGCCAATGTGTGTAGCAATATACATTTATACGTGTATACTGTCTTTGTATGGATACTCACACGTGCAGAAGATACTGTAGTACTTCAAATTTCCTTCCTTTTTCATCTATAAAACTAATTGCAAATTATTTCTTTTTGTTCTTCTCACAGCTGAATTTTTATTCCTCTTGTGGGGTGTTTATCTCTGCTATGCAGTGCGGACAGTCCCATCAGCATTTCATGAGCCGCGTTATATGGCTGTTGCAGTTCACAATGAGCTCATTATCTCTGCTATATTCCATACAATTAGGCAAGTGATGTGTAGATCTAGTAATTAGCTATTTATCTTTCAGGTTTCATATGGTGCAACATAAAATGGATAAATGGAGTAGGATGCATAAGGAAAAGTCTCAAATATTTATTAATATATATTAATATATTAATTACTAAACTTGAAACTGTTCCCATAGAATTCAAGAATGTATATGATCAACTTGTTAATAATATATATTCAGGGTGTTTGGTTTTTTTTCCATATTGCTAGCTAATGCGTTCTTTGTTCAAAGTTCAGTACACGTGATAAACTAGAGGTAGGAGAAATACTGTCAGTCTTGTATCACTTACACACCACTCACTGGTTTGCATCCCTAGAAAAGCAGCAGGTAAGAATGTTGGTTTGTATGAATATGTCCTGGTGTGTAACAGATTGGCAAAGTGCAGCTGTATGTTGAGATAATTGCACTGGTTTGTGCATGAGGCATAGTGCTTTATATGCTGACTTAAGAAGTGTTATGCTGTAACAGTAATATAAGGCATGTATTTCTTTGAAAGCTTATAATGAGCTCAATGTTTCATATTTGTGAATTATCAGAATAGCAACAAGCAAATAAGGATCTTTGCCAGAGCTGCATGAAAATTATCTTATCTGCCTTTCCCTCAGAGCACCTCCTAATAAGGAATTTGGAATAGCAAGACAACATGAAGTTCACCTCATGCACCAGGAGATTCTCATGACTTGTTACATTCTTGCACCTTCCTTTGCCTCCTGACAGACCTTATATACTCTGATTAATTTTTTTTTTACACCACTCCACTGACAATCTTCAAATACTCCTTTCCGTTTCTAGGTCTGTCTTGGAGCTCACATTTCTCTGTGCCTTCTTTTATGTTTTCTTCCGTGCTGCAGCATTTTTCTCTGAGTAAATATTTCAACTCTTATCCTGCTGGGTTCTCTCTTTCCCTGCCATGGTTGTAAAGTTCACTACACTTCTCAGGCTTGCAACTTTTTCTTTCCTTAATCTTCTCCTAACCCCATATCTTGCCATCCATGCATATTCAAAATCTCCTTGTTTACTCCCTAACAGAAACATATGAAAAATTGTTTTAAAAATTTGTATTTGGTTGAAATGTTTTTCTTTTCATTCTTGATAGGGTAGATGTAAAACTCAGTTTCAGTACTTTTGAATCGCTTCCTACTAATATGGTACTTTTGAATCACCTACAACTCGTATGGTAGCCTTTCAGTCAAAATTTTGCCCCAGTAATTAATGTTCTTAAACCATACTTTGGTTCATGGTAGAAGATACAGCTCAGTGCATTAGGAAAAGTATTTTGTGGGCTGCAAGTTTCTTTTAATAATGGGATGGAAGTAATCATCCAACCCTGAGGATTTTCCTTGAAACTAGGAATATGAGAAAAAGGAGACACTCCTCTCACATAGACCTGGTCCTTTTGGCATTTCTAATCCAGCCAGTGGTTTACTTGTTTTCAGTAGCAAATTTACAGACTTTTTCAATTTTTCTGAAATGTTCCTACATTGTTTGATCTTAACCAAGCAAAGAATTTTGAAGACATTTCTTCTGTCTACGCCTTCTTTTAGAATAAGTGTAGTGCAGTTAGGCAAAGAAGGCATGGAAGGACTTGATCTTTCCCATTATCTGTTCTTTCAGCCTAGGGTCTGCTGATTTTGTTCTTCCTTCTTTTTTAAAAAAAGAATGCACATTTAGTATTGCTTTCTTTTCTGCCACATGCTGATTTGCTGAAGAAACATCATGCATTTTTTGTAGACAGGAACGAACAAAATGCACTGGAAATAGAGTCCCTCCTGAGATGATGTGTGTATCCATACGCACAAGTCTTAACCCAGTCTCAAATTCACTTTTCTTTACATTCACTTTTTCTTGCTTCTGTTTTCTCTGCCAAGTTCTACATGTAACTGAAGGACCTGCAGTGTAAGATGTTTTTATGTTTGATGATTTATATGATTTATATGATATATCTGAATTGTCATGAAGTTGATAGCACTGGAGTCTTGAAGTACACCTACTATTATATTGCAGCCATCCAGTTTGAAAACTCCTGAAGCTCACAGAAGATTAATGTGAGCACCAAGTAAAACCTTGAATTGTTTATGTTTGTTCTTTAAAAGTGTGATTCCCGTTCCAGAAACAGAAGGTTCTTGATTACTTTCTGATCAGCATAATATTACTTTTCTGCACTTTCTCTTGTATTATTGAGAAAAATTTTGATGGAAAAATTTCATTTCAATAGAAACTCTGTCTATACAATGTTCAGGCACAGAGCTCTGTTAATAACAACTTGCTCACATGCCACTAGCACATCTTATTGCCTCTTCTTTCTGATTTTCTGTGATAGTTCTTAACCCATCTACCTTAGCACTTTTCTGTCCTTGTCTTCTCCCTCATAAACAACCCACTCTTCTGTTACTTTCTCATTACTGTTAGTCCCAGTTTTGCTACATTTGTATTCAAATCTGGTATTTCTGATATTATAACCAAGGTATGCAAAGCTTATAGACTATTGTCAGTACAGTTACATCAGGACTGTTGGCCTTGCAAGTTCTGCTCACTAAAGGGCCTACAGCACTCCCTTAATTACCTGTGAAGTTTGACTGTCTTTCAGATGATGCCCTGCCATCCATCATGGCACTATCTGTAGCTTTTTGCTCTGCTGTTTGTTATACCCAGCAGTCTCTCCTGTCATCTCTGATAGTTCTTGCGTTCAGATAGCTGAACCTTTGGCCTGAGTCTTGTCATCTGCCTGCACATCTTAGTAGCAACAGCTGTATTGTCAGAAAGAAGAACTTAAAACATTTTATTGTATTAATGGAACGCTATATTTGCAAAGTAATAAGGAAGTAATCATTAATATATTATTGTGGCATATAAGCCAATGTTTCATGCCAGACTATTTCTTTTAACAAAAGCTTCTGCAAAATGTGCATCTGTGATCTTGGGTAAGCTGCAAATCTCATTTTGATGTGAATGATTTACATAAACCTGCAGATTACAAGCTGGTGATACGTCCATTCATCCATTGCATTGCTTACCATTTATTATCTTTGGGAGTCCACTAAAGCAGAAAAGCCAAGCTGCTCTAACTGCAGTGCTTGCTCTACCAATCTTTTAGAAAGCTCAGCAAGGAACTGCTTCGTTAGTGAAGTTCAGCCACCCATTTACTAGTGTTTGCAGGGCTCTTGGACCATAAGTGGTCCTGAAATCAACACCATTTCTTTGTACCCACTGACATGCAGGTCAGTTCTGTTCTCTCTTTGTTGGCTTATCAGCCTCACTCTGTAGCTGCAATCTCTGGACATCCTCTATTTATAAAGTGCACTGCAAAGTATCATAGTACGTGTTCTTACTTTACCTAAAATCAGCAGTTCACATCCTTAATGCAAACTGCCATAATTCAGTTCATGCCAAAGACTATTTACACTGTCTGAAAAAAGCTCCAGCTACATAGAATAAGAACACTGGAATAAGCAACGTCCTTTAAGACCTGCTGTTATTTTCATACTTTGTTTTGGCTTGTGTTGTTGTTTTTGTTTTTTTTTTCCTGAATTGTTTTGAATCTGTGGTATATAGGTAAAGCATGTGAATATAATGTTTAGTCTGTATGAAATCACTGCAAAACAAAACCAGTTGTGCTTGGCCTTTCAGTGAAAAGAAACCTAAGGAACATTTAAAATGTTAAATAGAATGCACTGGAGAAAAGACAGTGAATTGCAATGCAATTCTTTTTTCAGATTCATTCTTGCTTCAAGACTTCAGTCTGACTGGATGCTGATGCTGTTCTTTGCACACACGCACTTGACTGTGACAGTCACTGTTGGGCTACTACTGATCCCTAAGGTATTCTATTCTTTTTATTTTTGTCAAGACCAGGAAGATAAGTTTGTCATGCTGAAGCAATTCTGTATAAAATTAGCAAGCAACTGATAGAAAACGAAGGTGTAAAATTTGTCTAATGCCTAAAAGTGTATCTGATTTTTTTTCTTTTATAAACTCTTACACATTTTGAAAGATTCTTTCTTCTGATTTTCAAAATTCCATAGATTAAAAGGACTTTTATTTTCAATTTAAACTAAGCAAGTAAATGGATTTGATTCATGCAAGAAGGAAAGATCTTGCCTAGCGATCCCTACTTCAAGTATTTGCTTGACTGGGCCACTGGCAGTGTTACTTGAGATCAAAGAGTTTGGGTGAGGGCCTAGAAAGACTAGCATGGACCATTAAATAAAAGTGGTATGTGAAGCTTAGACAGGCTATGAGATGGAGTGACTGGGACCTAAACCCAGCACTGTGTGGTGATTTCATCCTGATGGGTATCTGAGCTCCATCACACAGCTCTGTCACTTCTCCTCCTCAAAGGAAAAAGGAGAGAAAATAGGATGAAAAAATGCTCAAGGGTTGAGATAAGGACAGGGAGATCATTCACCAATTGTCATCATGGTAAAACAGACTCAGCATAGAAAGATTAACTTATTACTAGAGCAGAGCAATAAGAAACTGAAAATAAACTGAATACACCTTCCCTCCATCCATCCTCTGTTTCCTCCCCAGGAGCAGCACAGAGGATGAGGGAAAGGGGGCTGTGATCAGTCTATAACACTTGGTCTTGCCACTCTTCCATGGTCACTCTGCCCCTGCCCCACCTGGGGTCCCTCTCACAGGATGCCATCCTTCCTGAACTGGTCCCACATGGGCTCCCCCAATGGCTTCAGCTCTCCAGGCACTGCTCCAGCACAGCTCTGTACCATGGAGCCCACCCTTCAGGCACTGCTCCACACAGGTCCCCACATTTAGCAGCTCCCCCAGCCCTCCTGCCCCACTGCAGGCTCCTCCCCATGGGCTGCAGCATGGGGACGTACCAGTCCTGCATACCACGAAGAACCTATCTGTGCTACAGTAGGGTGCACCTGCTGCAGCAGGGTGAGAAGATGAATGTGTGCAGGACAAAAGATGATGCAGATGACAGGATACAGGGAAGAGAACAGGATGAGCTTTGGGCACCGCTGCACAGCTTTCAGAATGGAACGATAAAATGCCTGTCAGCTCCACCTGCCTCTTGCACCTGTCTGTAGGATTTGAGTGTAGCTTTCTTCTTGTGCAGTACTCCAGCAAAACAAGTGGCTTTATAATGGCTCTTGAAATGACTTGTAACATTAATTAAAAAGTCAAGAATCAAAGGTAACGGTAAAGGTGAAAGTTGCATAAAAGGAATAATGCTAGGAAGTTCAAGTTAACATTTCTATCTTTTCCTGATTTGCTGACAAACTCTCAAAAATAGATATATTAAACATGTATAACCAGAGGATGCACTGATGCAGCCTTAACACTGCAAAGCCCTGTTTTTTTCAATGACTCTACCAGTCTTTAGTAATAGTTTTATTTTCTATTTTTTATCCATTAACTTAATTACATGTCTTCAGAGATGCCTTCCCAGACTAGCCTAGAAAATTTGTTAACCTTTCTGAAACTGACTCATAACTAAGGATCAGGGTTTCCATTTTTAGTTCATTATTTGTGTAACACAGACTTTCCTTCCAGTACCCCAAAGAATTCAGGGAATGAAGAGAAGATTCACAAGGTTATGTTCAATTCATAAAGTCCTGAGGCCAGATGACTACATGGGCAATAGAATCATAGATGAATGAATCCATATGAATAAAAAAATAGCTCACACAACCTCTTTTTCCAGTGCTTAATAACTTTTTTTTTTTTTTTTTTTTTGCCACTCTGTCTATTCATATTCAGGATTGGGATCCAAAATGGGAGAATCACTTTCTGCAGGATTATTCAACTGCATGAAATATGGAATGTAGTTGTATGGTTTTTGCAGCCTAGTTGGAAATACTGAAAATGTATTCCCATAAATTTGTCATACAAGCTTAAAGTGAATACAATGTAAAAAGGCACAAATAAGTGGCAGAACAAGTACGAAGGATTTTTCTAAGGCAGATTTCAGAACCCTTAGTGGCTAATCCACCATTAACATGAGTTCTTCCATACAGTACTGATTTTCTCCAGGACAGTAGTAACAGCAGTGATGTCTATAGGTATTGAGTTTAGAAAATCGTACTAAATCCATTGTGATCAACTGTAAAATGAAAACTGTTGTAAACTTTTATTGTGCGCTAATGGCAACATCTTTGTTCTGAATGCTTACTGCAGTTTTCACATTCAAGCAATAACCCAAGAGATGATATAGCTACAGAAGCTTATGAAGATGAACTTGATATGGGTCGATCTGGATCCTATCTGAACAGCAGTATCAATTCAGCATGGAGCGAGCATAGTTTGGATCCTGAAGATATTCGGGTATATATAACTAAATATCGTTTATTTTGGACTAGATGATCTTGCAGGTCCTTTCCAACCTTGTGATTCTATGATTATATGGTTCTACTTTCAGAAGCCTTTCTTTCACATTGGTAAATTCTGAATCAGTTTGATTTTTTTTTTTTGCAGATACCAAATGAAACAGGTCACTTAAGTCTCTCAGTGACTGTGGTTTCTGGTCATGTGAAATATCTTGGAAAGAATTGACCAGTGTAAGGAAAAAGTAGTTGTAGTAAAAGTCATACTGGAGGCTGAGGGGGAAGAAACTTCCACAGCAAAAGCCATTAATCAGTTTACGTAGATTCTTTGAATTGTCTGGAAGCACAAACAGCATTTGTTGTCACTGTGATTAGTCATTTGTACATAGCTGTATAATATATCATTTTGATAAACATGGGAAGTAGAAAGCTGTGCTATTGCTGTCTTACGTGATAAAAGGACATTTCTGCCTGGAACTTGTCTGACTTACAGTTCCAGAACACAGAATAGCAGCAAGAGTCAGTAGGAGAACTTACACCACAGTATTGTATGAATGTGGTTGTGCGTGCTGTCTGATGTGCAGCCATGCAGGGTAACTGGTTTGTGCGCTAGGGCAGAACTTAGTCTTAAGGTGGGAAAAAATGGAGCAATGGCATATTCAACAATTAGTAAAGAAAGTGGGATAAGATTAATGTCATTTTTAGGGGTGCTTGTTTGGCTTTGTTCTGTTCATACTATTTTTGCTATTTACTTTGCTTTACAGGATGAGTTGAAGAAACTGTATGCCCAGCTTGAAATCTATAAAAGGAAAAAGATGATTGCTAATAACCCGCATCTCCAGAAAAAAAGGTGCTCTAAAAAGGGCTTGGGGCGCTCGATAATGAGGCGTATTACAGAAATCCCAGAGACAGTCACTAGGCAGTGCTCCAGGGACGAGAAGGACCTGATGGAGCACAATGCTGTGAAAAACACAGCTACACTGAAAAAAACCCCACAAGATTCCACAAGTTCTGCAAAGCCAAAAGAAGAGAATTTGAAAAACAGAGTCTTCTCGTTAAAGAAGTCCCACAGCACTTACGATCATGTCCGGGATCAAACAGGAGAGTCTAATAGCATAACTGCAGAAAGCACAGAAGTTACAGCTGCTGAGAATTCAATTCTGGATTCCTTAACTGGTAACAATTTAGCCAAAAAAGCTGAAAAAGTTGAAGCAGTGTCCACTGAATCGGTCCCTTTGGTGTGCAAATCACTAAGTGCACATAACTTAAGTGCAGATAAGAAGCCTCTGCATCCAAGAACATCTGTGTTACAGAAATCCCTCAGTGTTATTGCAAGTGCCAAGGAAAAGACTCTGGGACTTACGGGTAAAACACAAAGTCTAGAAGAAAGCGCTAAATCTCAGAAATCTCAGCAGAAAGGGAAGGAAGGCAGCAAAAAACACTCGGCCACCGACAAAGGGGAGCACAAGGATTCTCACCGGAAGAACTCTACTCAGTCTGAGGAGACAAAGAAAACCCATAAGTCTGGCATTATGAAGCAGCAAAGGGTTAGTCAGACACCTGCAAATCCAGACACAGGCCCAGGTAAGACTCTGCACAAGGACACTTTCGACATAGGAGAAGTTTGTCCTTGGGAGATATATGACCAAACTCCTGGTCCTGTGCCTTCTGACTCTAAGATTCAAAAACATGTGTCTATTGCTTCCTCAGAAGCAGAGAAAAATCACCCTTCCCAGCCAAAGGGTAAATCTCATCATAAGCAGAAGACGCCTGAGGGCTCTCAACAGTCGAATCAACAGAGCCCACAGAAGTTGGAGACGGGCACTCGGGAGGTGCAAGAGCAGCACATTTTTGAAAATGATAAAAAACAGTTGAATTCCAAATCTCAGGGCTCCCCTGGGCTGAAGCGCGAGAACGTTAACAGATATGCACCAAATGTTTGTGGGGGGGAGCATGAGGAGCTGCCCCAGAAAGCAGCAGAAAATGTCAATAAATTGGTGGAACAAAAAAAAATTGCCTCATCTGAGGGAAATGTGCTTTCTGACTCCCGTAAGCCAAGTGGTTACTCACAGCAACCTTTAGCATCTCGAGCTGAAGTCTGTCCTTGGGAGTTTGACACACCAGATTTACCAAATGCAGAAAGAAGTGTAGCTTTATCAAACACCTCTGCTATAAGTGCAAATAAAACAGCAACACCTCGAAAATAAGAGGCTTTTGGACTGAGGAAAGTAGCAACACCGAGAAGAAAGACAACAGGAAAAACAAAAGAGACTTAGGCCAAAAGGATCTGAAAATTCCTAAGGAGCATCACTTAATGGAATCAGCACAACAAGTAGGAATTAAGCAAAACAAATTATTATTATTGTTATTATTTATTTATTGAGTGCCAACAATGTGATTAGCAGTGCCCAGAATGTGGTCCCTGCTCCAAGGATTTTACTGTGTCATTGAAAGAAACTTGCCTTTCTGAAATCACTTCTCCTTTAAAAGAAAAATAAACAAAACACCAAAAGTTGGTAACAAACGCACACTGTAAATCTTAACAGAATTATTTCTGAATGTCACAACTGGCTTTAACTTGCCCTTGGGACTTTAAGGATCCAACAGAAGTAGGGCGTAGAAAATGTCCTGATGGCAGAAAGGAGTATCAGTGAGCAGCTCTTAAAATGACGACTTTTCACTTTGCGTATTTAATCTCAATAGCACTGCTAACTCAATGCATCCCAAAAACACATTTTATATAATGGTTGCTCTCATTTTCTTATTACTGTGTGTTTAAGTACATTGTTGTGTCTCATATTAAAGCATTCCAGATTGTATAATTTTTGCAAATACCTTTGATATTATGTGACACAACAACACATTTATGCAATCTGCGGATACTTTTTTCTTATTGCAACTTAAAATACCTGCTATAGACTTTTTGTTTATATGTAGAATTACCGTAATTGTTCACTGGCTGTGGAAGCCAATAACTCTCATTGGGAAATTCTTTTGGGGTTTGGGAATTTTTTTTCTTTCCTGTGATTTATATAGTGAACTTTTTGTTTTACTCTCTGTTATTTAAATTTATAGTTTGATACTGTATTATTCAGGGGTTTTATACACAGCAAGTTACTTGTTATGCACTTCCCTGTTAATGCGCATAGACTTTGCTAATAGTGGAAATCCAGTCGTCTTAGCTGCATATTCTGGTAAGTCTTAGGACAACTTATCTGTTGTTTGTTACAAATTGGAAAATATAGTCTAACAAACCAGAATACCAACTCGAAACATCCGTGAGGGTGATCTTGTTCAGTATTTCATACTGAGCATATCCTACTACATGAGACAGGCAAGAATGACAACGAATATACCCCAGAAATGATGAACTGATTTACTAAAACTGGACAACTCTGGGAAATTTATCAGCTAGTTAACAACAGTTTACTGTCTATCTCTGTTGGCAAACCTCCAGAAACTGGCCTTTGGAGATACACAGGTGAGGAGAGAAGTCCGAAATGTTACTCTTCCCTGTATTGGCAGCGGCAAGAGACAGTAGGAATGAAAATGATGGGCATCTCTCTCCCACTCTCCAAATGCTTTTTTTTTTAATTTACACATACATTTATGGAAACAGGTACTATTTAAGATAGCGCAAATTTTCAGTAATGGCTAAAGCCATCATCTTGCATTTGACTTAATTCAAAGGTGGCCCATTTACAACTATGAGTCTTGGTGCAAAAACACTCATGGTATACCATCAGGGCCTAAGAGGTATCATAGAGAATCTGTGTACCACTAACAATAAAAATTAGGTTCCGCCCTCACCCATCTAAATTTAGTACCAGTGAAGTACTATTCAATGGAATTGGCTGTACAAAGAGTACTTCAAAATAAAGACAGCTCAGTCCTAAAGAACTTGTGCAATCTGAGAGAAGTGATGGGTTTCACTGGAAGATGAAATGAGGATGATTGAATAGAATGTGTTGTTTAATATATATATATATATAATATATATAAAATAGATATTTATATATGTTTAATATATATTTAACTTGTCATATCTAATACACACATGCACATACACGTATGTAGTATAAACTGATTTTTGTGGCATCATAGAAAAAGTGGCTTAAGATAAAATGTGATGATTGGAGGGACTCAGATGAGCTGGGCATGAAGAGGACATTTTTTGTCCTTTGAAAAAGACAGAAGAATATGGGCATGTCTACACTAACAGATAGGACAGATCATCCTACTGCCTCTGCTAAGCCCAAACCTGGAACATGCAGATGCTGAGCCAGCTGGAAACAAGTCAGCTCAGGTCTCGGTGCTGTCTGAACACAATGGCCTCGCTCATAAATTCTGTCAAGATTCAGAGCTTGTGAGCTCCAGGTTATGGTGGCCAAATTGCCCCAACCAGCCTGGCAAGGTGGGATGGTGCTTTGTTCCACCATCGGGACGTGCCTCCTGGGCAGTCCTGTCTCTCCCAACTCTCTTTTCTAGGGTGCAGTTATGGCCTAGATCTGGTCTCTGCCTTCAACACACGTCTTCTTGCCAGGACCCTGATTTGGCCATCCATGCACATGTTTTGCCCACACAGTGCCAGTGGTGGTCCATGTGCAGCCCAAATCCAGCTTACTACTTATTTTGTAAAAGTATTGAGTTCAGAACCTACATGCCCAACTTCCTCATCCCAGGCATTCACAGAACAACTTCTGTGGGATTTAATCAGCTGGATCAGTTCCCTGTACACTTCCCTGCGTGGGAAGAAATCCATCCTGGGAATGCTTTCAGGGAGTCCTGCAGGTGCACACTGACGCTCCCCAGATAGATGCACATCTTCAAATTTGCTGAGCATGGTGACCATACTCGTGAGAGGAAGAAGATCGTGTAGAACGTCCAGGAGGTGGTTGGTGTGAGCAGGGAAGGAGGACGGTTTATGGCAAGTTGTCCTTCCAAACAGAAGGCAGTGCTTTGTTGGATCCAGGCATTGAGATTAGAAGTGAGCATCTGTAAGAGGGTCATGAAAGGAGACTTTTGTACATCCTTACTGCCTCTTTGAGACAGACATTCACAAGGAGCAGGTGCCAGTTCTGATGCCTGCACTTGTCCTGTCCTCCCTCCTTCACCCCAAGGAAGCTGCTGCTTGGAGCATGGTGCAGCATCCTTAGAGCACCTGCCCCAGCCGTGTGACACTGCTGTCCCTTACAGCACTGAGCCCTTCATGTATGGCTGTGTCTGAGCCACCACTCTATCTACGATTCCTTGTTCAGTTGGTTTTTCCTTCTTTTTGAGGACAACCTCACTGGAAGTACAGAGGCAAAGTGCACTCCTTAGTTGGGTTAACTCAGCCCAGCTGCACTGGCCGCAGCAGAACAAAGGCTGGTTGACCAGGAAAAGCACTGGCTTGTGTATTCTGGTTTGGTTTTCTTTCATCCTGACCCCTTCCTTCACTTCTTAAAAAATGGCTGTTACGGTTCTTTAGGCTTGTTGTAGTCATACATCCTGACTGATACAATTGGAGAACTTTCCTTCAGAAAGCAACAAAGCTTTAGCAACTGATATCTGGGCTACAGATTCAATTGGTACTTTAGATTTCTTTGCACTTAAGAAAGAGGGGCCAAACTTCACTCAACTACTATATTTCACTATGATGCTGCTAGAAACATTGCTTAATGAAGACATACTAAGTTAGACATAAATAATGTTCTGTATTTCATAGATTTTTCTCCACCAGCATATATTGGCTAGATTGCTTAGTTGTCTTTTTCTGGAGTTTCATTGTCATTACTCAGCCAAGAGAAGTGTGACTCTAGAATTAAGATGTTTTCTAGCAGATCTGTTAAGAGAAAAGATAATAAACACTAAGGTCACAAACATTTGCTAGGTTGTCCTTTTAAATGCATGTGCAAGCTGCATTTCTCCTTTATTTCTAAGCCATGGTTTATAAATAAATTTATACCAACCTTATTAGACTTGTATAATTTATGCAAGATTATACGCTTCAAAATAAAAATCAGTACACACCTATCATCAGCTTTGGTGGCATCATAGGCCTGAAACCAGACAATACTTTTACATTTGCTCTCCTTAGGCTTTTGCATGCATATAACAACAGGCAGGCCTGAGAAAACACTGCCTTTTGACTTTTAACATTTTAGCTACTCCGAGTTGTAGAGTACATAAAGCTGTAAGTCTCTTCACTTTATAACGTGATTCTTATAAGAATGTTATCTGGCTACCAACAGCATCCACCATGAAATACTTAATAGATTTATGTTGTAATGTGTTGCAGCATGTAAATAATGTAACTTCTCTGCAATAAAGCACATTTATATGAAATCTGTCTACAGCCTTTTGGGTTGTGAATTTTGTGAAGTCATTACTGATCCAAACTAAACTAATAAAGCATCGTAAACTGAAAGTGAGTTTTACAGCATGTATAGTCTGATCACGGTGTTAACGTTTTCAGGAGTTTCCACACATTTCCTTGACATCAACCTTTAGACCATGTACTGTGTTCGGGATTTCTGGTTAAGGAAATTGCATGGCCAACAGCTCTCTTTTCTCAGTCACTGCAATTTAGAGACCAGAATTGTAGGATCTACGCTACATTCTCTTGAAAGTAATGGCAGCTAGAGCACAAAAGATTAGGAAATAGATGGTATTTCATGACTTGTCATTGTACAAGTCTGTAGGCCACCTGTACAGTATGTGTGCATGGGTGGATTCCTCATCTAATGTGTATATATGTATGTAAACCATATAGAAAGGTAAAGATGTTCAGAGACAGAGAACGGCTGCTGTGTGAACAGTGACTGCAGAACAGACCAACTGCAGCTTGTTTAATGTGGAAGGGAGATGACTGAGATAGTGATGAGACCTACATACAATTACAAATGGTCTGAAGGTGATTAGGAAACCAATATTTGCTGGTTTTCATCATCCAGGAATTACAGAACACCCATGATGACCTTCATGCAGCAGTTTAAAACAAATGAAGTCTTTTTCCACACATGCTGTAATTGTGAAGCTCATTTTAACAAGTTGCTGTGGATACCATGAGTTCAGAAAGCACTAGGCAGGCCCTGGAAGAGAAATCCATCAAGATGCTTGAAAACAGGGTAAAAACTCTTAATGTGCAGGCTGCTGAAGATTGTATAGTCACCCCGGTTTCTTTCCAGGATCATCTACTACTGGATATGAGGCTAAGTGAGCCTTTATTTTAGAACAGCCTTCATATGTTCTTATTTTTGTGTAAATATAGATAGTTAGGCTTAATTTATTTTTAGTTATCAGACCATTTTTAATTAATGCCCCATTATTCATGTAAGAGTTCTTGTAGTTTCTGGCACTTTCTCATTGCTTCCTAGGATTGAACCATTGCTGTTTCTGTAACTGTCCTGAGTCATGAAATCCAGGAGTGTTGGGGCCATGAGTGGGAGAGGAGAGGAAAGAATTACGTGTGTTCAGTAAACGAGCTCTGCACAAGTCCTTTACAAGTAAGAATTCCATCTATCAGGAAAATAAAGCCTGGAAATTTTTGTCTGAACCACTTCATGGTGCTCATCCCAAAGCAAGGGGTCTCGCAGACACAGCATGCCATAACCAACAGAGGCCTTCTGAGCTCCATTTCTCACAATTCTCGGCTTCTAAAGGTGAGTACAAGAAGGAAATGAACTTAGTGGAGAGAGTGCAGTGTGGGGCCTTCAAGCTGATCTCCTGTGAGGACAAGATGAGAGTGTTGGGACTGTTCAGCATGGACAGAAGGTGGCTTGAAGGGGATCTCACCAATGTGTGTAAATCACAGGGATTTGCAAGGGATGTGCAAAGAGCACAGTGGTGCCCAGTGCCAGGACGAGAGGCAGTGGGCGCAAACTGGAACACGGGGTTCAGTCTAGACTTCAGATTTCAACCATTCTGAAATTCTGTGAAGAATGTCCGAAGTGCTGTGGCTCAGAAACTCTTCAGAAATGAATTAGTGACAGATGGCCCCATGAAACCAGTACAGAGGATGCACACACACATGCACAATGTGGGAAAGAATGCGAAAGTCCAAGTACTTGCATGTATTCTGGTTGAAATTTGATGAAAAATGTCATTTATAGCTCTGCTTTCTATGACTTCTGTGCTTTTGTTGTAAGATGGATTTGACTCTAGGTAACTAAGGCTGTCCCCACCCTTCCCGGACTAGATGGGATTGTTTGGCTGAGGGTTCCCCCAGCACCCTGCCAGTGCCCTAAGGAGGGTATCAAGAAGGCTGAGATGGGCTCTTCACAGTAGGGCAAGGTGGGAGTGTGTTGGAAACGCTCAGTCACAGGTTGGACCAGTGACTGAGCACCTGGTAAGGAGGCAGGGCCAAGCCAGGGGAGCCCAGGTGCATGCAATGTTCCTAAATGACCTGAAGGGGTGGATCCTGACTCCATGCCTTCCCTGACCTCCTTTAAGGGTTGGCAGTGGATGCAAGGTTAGCTTGCTGGAGATCCCTGAATCCCTGAGGTTTTCTGAAGGTAAGTAGTTTCTTTCCTTTAGTTCTGTGCCCATGGCTGTTGCGTTTGAGCAAATCTTTGCTTGCTGCAGGCAAGGACTTTGTTGTTCTGCTGTTATTGCTGTGCTTTCCATTGCGTTACAGGGAGGAAGGGAGACAGCAGGTGTAAATTTAGACTAACGAGGCTCAGGTTGAATGTATCACAAGGTTGTTTTTTTCTCCCCACTGTGGGGGTTACCTGAGTGCTGTGCGGATCCCATCCTTGGTATTTTTTGTGACCTGGCTGAAGTCCTGGGCAAGGTGCTCCATCGCATAGCCAGCTGCTTTCAGTGGGTTGGGCCGCAGAGCTCCTGAGGTGTTACCTGAATGAACCTATTGTTCTATGGATGGTGTTCACAGCTAGAACATGTTCTCTGTGTTGTTCTTTTAAAAGCTTCTAGGTGGACACCCCTAACAGCTTTAACTCCCACGTTAGGGTTCAGATCATGCAGTCATTTACACAAATG